TGTTCAGATTAGTAAGACTGCAAAAATAGATACATAAAGGTAATTTTAAATCATAATTATTGTGCTTAGTAAGTTGTAGAGAGAAATACAATCAGTTTTTTTTTTATTGTAGATTGTTTTTCTAAGTTTTACAATTACTAAAAAATAAAATACCCCTCTTTAAATTGTTGGGTACAACTATAAGTTTCCTTTTTTGACTATAAGAGTCAAAAATCAAAAACCTCTTACATTCTCAGTTTTACTGCAATTGACTAAAAACTATTGTTGCAAAACTTTTTGCATTGTAACTTGGGGGGTTTTATAATTGTAGATCTTTCACTATTACAATTTTTTTTTACTCCTCTTTAAAAAAGTACAAGTGCACAGCTTGTGCTTTGTGAGTCACACTTAAAGAAAAAATCTCTTAATAATTGAACATTATTGTTCTCAAATTGGAGAATTTTACCTCTGCTTTGAACAGGGAGTGTTTTTTTTAACTCACAACCTCAGGATTCAAAGCTCTATGCCCTAACCACTAAGCTGCCACCCCCTTGCTTTTTTTTAGTTTTGCTGCACTTAATCTAAAACAAATGTTGTTACTTAACCCTTACATGTCCATGAATACGATTCCTGGAATCTGCTGCTCTGAGTCACAAATTCAGCTTTACAAGTTGCACCTTCTCCTTACTATTGTTACTAATTTCATTTTGGATTAGAGCACAGGTGTCAAAGTGGTTCCAGAAAGGGCCGTGTTGCTGCACGTTTTCTTTCCAACCAAGCAATAGCACACCAGACTCCATTCATATCATCAAGTTATCATGTTTAGATTGGACTCACTTGATGAGATGACTGGAGTCTGGTGTGCTATTGCTTGGTTGGAAATTACTTGGTTGGAACCACTTTGACACCCCTGGACTAGAGCAACACTGAGTACTACACAGAGCTAATCATCTACAATAACAAAACCTTTTTATTTATCATCTACAATAACGAAACCTTTTTATTTAATTTCTCTATACAGCTTTGACTCCACAGTTACAATGCACAATTACTTATGATTTAAAATCACCTTCATACAGAGATGCTTAAACACTTAAAAATCTAATTATACCCCATTCAACCTTCTTTCATTTTTGTCACACTACAAGTGCAAACTTTAATCTTTTTCCACAAAGGCATGTACAATATAATTGATTGAATGAAAATTCTAATAATTACATAGAAGAAGGTTGTCTGAGCAAGTTTATCCCAAGCTGAACTTTTTGGCCTACATAATTAGATCTGTGCATGGCAGTAAACTAATGCTGCTACCTGATCATAACAGCACACCATGCCAACAGTGAAGCATGGCGGTGGCAGCAGTTTGCCATTTGCTTTAGCAGGAAGCTTATGAAAGCTGAAGGAATATTGAAGAAGCTGAGACTGAGATTGAGTCCTGATCTACATACAAATGGGAATGCATTGGAAGGTTTCAGGAATCAATGTTTGTTGATGTTTTGCATCCAATACAAATTAGCTTCAGCTATAATGGCAAATATTTCCTCCTCTAGATGTAAAAAAAGCTGATCGATACACGCAAAAAGCCTCAGGATTGCTGGAACTGGGCTGGATACAAATACATGCATACTTTTACTATTTAAATTTTCTTCTGTGTTAATCTGTTACTGGGTTCTTCATTTCCATTCCTTGATGTCTGGTATCATGCACCTTTCAGATGTGTCTCTGCTTGGCAGTAATGAGAGATTAAAGTTCTGCTACAGATCAGTTTTTTGATTCAGGTCATTTGAAGCATAGAATATCTAAAAGTGGCATTCTACAAATTGACTGTCAGAATAGTTGAAGCTAGAATAATTTTCCCTATGTGCATTTAAATAACAAAAGCATACATCAACCTACTACTAATATTACCCAAAATGACTTTGCTGCAAAAGTAACTACACGTTTCAGGAAACATTGTGTACAGAAGTTAGAACTTCAATAGGAATCCATCATTCATACTTTTTCTTTGTGAAACCCTAATGTTTTAGGAAAACTTTTTTAATTAAAGGAAACCACATGTCTAATTTGTGTTGCTTAAACACTAAAGTAACTTTATTTTTTTTCCTTCTCTTTGTAAGAGAGTTCTAAGGAGGACAATATTTCCGTTCCTGCAGCAGGGGGCGGCGAAGAGTCCAGGGGCTGGTGGTTTTCAGACATTCAGGCTCGGAGCTTCAGTGCCCAGCAGCAGTGTGAGTCGAGCCTTGGCCTCGAGGAGAGCATAGCGACTGTGAGGGAAGCTGTGAAGACTCAAGGCCCATTTGACGGCGTCCTGGGATTCAGTCAGGGAGCTGCCTTTGTTGCCATGCTTTGCTCCCTGCAGGAGCAAAAGCTGGAGCCGGATTTAAACTTCCGCTTTGCCATCCTGGTTGCTGGTTTCCGCAGCGCGTGTGAGGAACACTTAAAGTTCTACAAAGCTCCGCTCCAAATCCCTTCACTGCATGTATTTGGACTGGAGGACAAGGTCATCCCTGACAACATGAGTAGGGAACTTCTCTCCTCCTTCCAGGACCCTCAGGTCCTCATACATCCTGGAGGTCACTTTGTTCCAGCTGCAGGGGCTCACAGGCAAACGTATCAGGACTTTCTGAAGACCTTCCAGTAAACGTGTTTGTGCAAGTTCCAGTAACATCACAAAACCACTGTTGTCACAAGCTTCAACAGAAAAAAAAACTGAAGCATTAATGTTAACATTTGGATCTCAGTCCAGATACATTTTGGATAAAAAGATCTGGATCGAGATCTGAGTTTTAAGCAACCTTTTATCTGCTACATCCAAAAAATGTGCATGTAATTTTCTCAGGGAAAATATAAAGAAAATTAAAATATTGTTTAAAATTATGGTCTGTCTTATGTAATGCTGCATTTGAAGTCCTAAAGATGTGTTTATTTCACATAAATACAATGCAAATAAGTGACTAATTATAAATGACATCCATCCATCCATCCATTATCTGACATGCTTGTCCCAAGTGGGGTCACAAGGGGTGCTATCTCCAGCAGTCAATGGGTGAGAGGCAGGGTACCAGTCCATCGCAGGGCAACACAGAGACACACAGCACAAACAACCATTCACACACACACACACACACACACACACACACACACACACACACACACACACACACACACACACACACCTAATTTAGAGAAGTCAGTTAACCTAAAAGTCATGTTTTTGGACTGTGGGAGGAAACCAGAGTACCCAGAGAGAACCCACACATGCTCAGGGAGAACATGCAAACTCCATGCAGAAAGACCCTGGGCCCGGAATTGAACCCAGAACCTTCTTGCTGCAAGGCAGCAGTGTTACCCACTGTGCCACTGAGCAGCCCTAATCTAATTATAATAAATAATTCAGAATATACAGAAACTTTTAGGCCATCAACTGTAGAAGATTCCTAGAAGGGAATCACCCCAACCTTACATAGGTCAACATGAATGTTTCTTTCAGGCTTTATAAAGGCTAAGATAAACGGGCACATATGACAAAAGCCCACAAGAGGAGCCAAATGCCAGGTGCTGGTTGTCAGAGCAGCCGCCCGAAACTGCAAAATCAGACAAAAAAACCTGTGCACTGCCCGAATGACTGAACTACAATGACCCTATATTCATATTTGTGTGGGACAGTGTGGCATTTCTCACTTATGTCCTGCTGTCCCACAAAGCCAAACAATGTTCCTCATTTCCCTGAGTGAAATTAGAAAAGTTTAAAACTGTTTAATAGGTTACTAAATGCTAGGACACAAGAGCTGCAGTGATTGTCACAGAGCGGTGCCAGGGCTGTGGGGCTTCTAGATGCATACAAAAATCATAGAGTCAAATCAATGAGACATTATGATCATTGACAAACAGCAAAGGTCAGCCGTAGTGATCCATGAAGATCATTGATTTGTGTTTTCTGGTTTTGGTTCTTTATTATTTTTTGTCCATTTTTATTAATTACTGTAATAAGAAATCTAAGGAAAGAATATATTATTTATTTGAAATATATTGTATTGAGCTGTCTTGTGAAACATTAGTAAAAACAATTGCGCTATGGGTCTGCTTTTCCTTAGCAGTGACAGGGAAGCTGTTCAAAACTAATTGGAAATTAATGGAGTAAAATACAGGACAATCCTGGAAGAAAATCTGTTGAAGGATGTAAAAGGCTTGACTTGGTTGAAGATCCTTTTCCAGAAAAGCACACAAACTAGAGCTTTAGTGCTATTGGTTTTATGTCAAAGCAAGTAAGAATATGTTAAGATTTCAAAACGGATATTCTCAGAAACCTTTCATCCGATTCTGACTGAGCTGGAGTTTTTTTTTTAAATATAGAAGTAGTAAAAGATATGGCATTTTTATGAGCATTTTTTCGACTTAGGCTTTAAAAGCTTACTTTTGAAAACCATTTCTGGTTTCAAGTTGTGAAAATAAAATTATCTTTTTACAACTCGTTGCATGTTTTAGGAATTGTTATATTCACATTTCAGACATCTCATCAACAGTTTCATCAACAGGTTGGTATGAACATTTTGTGTATTTCTTTCCCTTTTACCATTTTGGTCAGATCCTCTCTTGTTTATGAAAACCACATGACACCAGTGGACGCCTGACATTTTGGGGGGGGTTTGGTAACACTTGAAACAAAATTGTTAAAAGGTTTCAAAGAATCTTTAATAGAACCACAGTAGAAACCTTGATTTATTAAATATGACTGCACAGAGCTTGACTTACCACAAACATCCTGGGTCTCGGGGAGGGCACTTTGATTTTTGTTGATAAATGGAAAGGTAACACATGGACAGGTTTGTATGGTGGCTGAAACTACACAGGGTTCAAGTACGTGTTGTTCTTTTGTAGCTGAAGCATGTGCACGTAAGGCTACTCTCGTTCAATTGTTTCCAGATGTGTGCTCTCTGCCTCTCTCTTCTCTACCTCGTTCTCCGTTTCATCTTATCACAGATTCTACCTTAAAACAGACTGGCCTCAGCATCTTCCCTTCCATCTATGTTCTGCGTCATAGAAATAGAACTCGAGCATGTGTTTCCCTCACCTCTGACATGTCTTTAGTTCATCTAGGTCAGATGAGATCTCTCACCTAAAAGACCTTTGTTTTTCAGGAGTTCCCTTCAGAATTTCCCAGCAAAACTAGAAGTTTCCTTAGAATAACATTTATTTCGGCAGCATTCTTAATATTCTCAATAATACACTGCTCAAAAAAATGAAAGGTACACTTTGAAAACACATCGTATCTCAATGGGGGAAAAAATCATGCTGTTCATTTATACTGATATGGACTGGGTGATGTGTTAGGAACAAAAGGATGCCACATCATTTGATGGAAATAAAAATCATCAAACTACAGAGGGTTGAATTCAAAGACACCCCAAAAATAGCAGTGAAAAATGATGCGGCAGGCTAGTCCATTTTGCTGAAATTTCATTGCAGCAACTCAAAATATTCAGTAATTTGTATGGTTCCCACGTGTGTGTATGCATGCTTGACAACGTCGGGGCATGCTCCTAATGAGACGACGGATGGGGTCCTGGGGTATCTCCTCCCAAGCTGCCTGCATACTCTCACCACATGAGGCCGGACATTGCCGTGCACCAGGAGGAACCCAGGACCCACTGCACCAGTATAGGGTCTGACAATGGGTGCAAGGATTTCATCCCGATACCTATTGGCAGTCAGAGTGCCGTTGTCTAGCCTGTATAGGTCTGTGCGTCCCTCCATGGATATCCCTCCCCAGACCATCACTGACCCACCACCAAACTGGTCATGCGGAACGATGTTACAGGCAGCATAACGTTCTCCATGGCTACTCCAGACCCTTTCACGTCTGTCACATCTGCTCAGGGTGAACCTGCTCTCATCTGTGACACCCAATTCCGGTGTTCTGTGGCAAATGCCAATCGAGCTTCACGGTGCCGGGCAGTGAGCAAAGGGCCCACTAGAGAATGTCGGGCCCTTAGATCACCTCATGAAGTCTGTTTCTAATTGTTTGGTCAGAGACATTCACACCACTGGCCTGCTGGAGGTCATTTTGTAGGGCTCTGGCAGTGCTCCTCCTGCTCCTCCTTGCACAAAGGAGCAAATACCAGTCCTGCTGATGGGTTGTAGACCTTCCACAGCCCTGTCCAGCTCTGCTAAAGTAACTGCCTGTTCTCTGGAATCTCCTCCACGCTCTTGAGATTGTGCTAGTATACACAGCAAACCCTCTGGCAATGGCACTTTTGATGTGCCATCCTGGAGGAGTTGGACTGCCTGTGCAACCTCTGTAGGGTCCAGGTAGCACCTCATGCTAACAGTAGTGACAGCAACCGTAGCCAAATGCAAAACTGACTATGCCTAGAGAGGGCCGCTGCAGACAGGCTGCCGTTAGCTTCGGAGCTCCGCTGGTGGCTGCGGTCCTCTCAAGTTTGGAACATTTTCTTTTAAATTACGCATTAAATCTGTGAATGGGCCATATGGTGATGATTAAAAGTATAATGTTCTCACCTCAAATAATCTTAAAACATATTTTTATTGAACAACAGCAACAGAAAAGAGAACATTTAACTTAATACTCTGAGCTCTGTGAGTGAAGAAGATGGGCCGCCAACCAATGAGCAGAAGGTGACTCTCTAGGACACGCCCCCTCCTCATTTGCATAATGAGGCAGAAATGCATATAGAAATGTAAAAACTACAGTCAGAAATAAATAGCATGGAAGAAATAAATAGGGTAAAAAAAATGCAAAGGAAGAATAAAACAGACATGCACATAAATAAATACTTAAAAATATAAGTAATTAAAAGATAAAGTTCAAGATTATAAAGGACAAAAAAAATAAGGTAAAAATTACAAAGGGAAATAAATAAAGAAGTTAAATAAAAGAGTTATATACATATATGTCTCACTGTGTAATTTAATTTCTACTTACCGGTACATTTATTTGTTTATTGTATTTTTGGTGGCCATTAATTGTATGCTTATTTATTTATTGAGCATTTATTTATTTCTGTATTTATTTTTAAATATGGCAGAGTGGGTCCTCCATAGAGCTGAACCACCAAAATAGGTGTAATATAAAATAGAGGGTACCCACACAGGGAGAGGAAGAAAACAACTAATATTTCATAACATATGAATATTTCTTAGTGGTAATATTTCATCATATATACCTATGGTTGACTTTTGAAGGCTTACAAAAGGAAGCATGATATGCGGTCTAAACAACAGTAAAGCATTGAATTGTGACTGCAGTGACAAGTTTGTTTTTGACAGATTACTCTCAAAATCTCAGTTTTTTCCTTCTCAGAACAAAAAGTTTAAATCCTTAAATATAATCAAAAGTAGGCCACAAAAAGCCATTTCTTCATACTCTCCAACATTTGATAAATATTAGGTGTTAATTAAGTAAAGAGATTCCTTGCACAATCATAGGACTTCCCATTAAATGTTGTAGTCTTACAGTAAAAAGTTTTTTTGGGGGTGGGGTTTTATTACTTTAATCCATGGTGAAGATGTATAATGTTGATCAATAATTCATTTCAGTGAATAATCAGTCAGTTATTATTAAAGCTTCAACAAATAATTCATACCTGTGTTTATATAGATTCCAACCTTAAAACATTTGATAGGAATGTCTTGGTGCTTCTTTTTACATATTAGCCATGAAAAGAATTTATCATCCAAACTGAAGAATGACGTTTTTTGTTAGACTAACTTATCTAAAAGCCTTAATGTTATATAAGCATGATCACACTATCCTTTTGAGACAATTGGGTGGTCTTGTGGTTGCAAAATTAGTCTGTTAACATAAAATTCCACATAAAATACTTCACTTCAGCTCC